TATACTTAACACCAAACCATTAAATGAAAGGTATTCAACAAGTATTTTGGCAAGAAATTATTTTTTTTAGATTTTTGATAAACGATTGTCATATAGGATTTTGAGGTATTTTTCACGGCCTATCTACTGATATATAATTCATTTGGTTTGAATTAAGTAACAAGTACATGTATGTAAAACTTGACAACCAAAAGATGCCCTTATGTATACACAGAAAATTGAAGAAGTAATCGGATCCTCAACTTGTAAATACCTAGCAAAATCATTTGAAAATCATAAGGTATACTTTGTACCATCATTTCCTTTGTTTCTACCCGAGCAGATCATTAAAATTCAATTGGACCGATTTCTGTAGAAATCCCCCCCTCCCCGTCCTTTCACAAATAATTATTCTTCATTTAAAAAAGCTGAAAACTTTCATCAATTATTATGTTATATTGAAAGTTATTATAATGAAACAGAAGTAAAAACAACAGAAAATATTAATTAATATTTATTTCAGATTAAATATTGTTCAGTTGATGCAGAGTTGTGCACCGTCGGCGCCGCCGAAAACATTTTGAGGGCGGTGGTGACGCGTTCGTCTCACTTTTAAATTTGTGGACAGGCGGCCGCATCTATATCATATTAGATATTAGAATTTCTTGAAATTGAATTTCGAAAAGCAAAGCCAATTTTACTGTCTTTCGGCGCATCTGTGTACTTTTTGTCTTAAATTAATAGTCAAAAACTGAAGTGGCATCGACAGGATAATTATTCTTAAGAATAAGCCAAATTTGAGTGTATTATAATGGTAATAGTTTTCAATTGGAAGTAATCGACTACGCCTTATACGTTTTTTCTCATTCTTCCAATAATGTTTTCGTCAAACATACTAGATATATTATTCGTTTCAATTGTCCGTTTCGCTGATATATGATATTATTCTATTTGCGTAAAGTTTTGTCCGTTCGTCTTATCACTCTTGTATTGATCTCTTCTCTAGTGTTTCTATACTCTTTGTGTAAATATTTTTGTCGATAAACTATACCAAAAAAAGTTTCCTCGCGTATTGATGTATTCGTTCTTGCTTTTTTGTTATAATACCTATTGCATTTTCTAACAAGTAATGAACATATTGTTTCTCAATATTTTCTAGATTAATTAGATCTTATGTAGTATTTAATTATTTTTTAAACTGATTTCGAAAATCTTTAACATATTGAATGGTAAGAATAGCCAGTTTATTATTGAATTATAATTTTGTTTAAGTTTATATTTTTTAATAATAAACCATACGAAAGGTAAAAGTATTCAGCGAAAGTGTATGCAAGTCGTTGTTCTCCCAAATCCAGTATTGCTTAAAAAGCATCCTGACTCAATGTTAGTGCAATAAATCTGCAGAAAGGATTGAGAAAATAATTCTCCAGATATCATAAGGCGGCCGCTTCACACTTCTTATTTCACCAAGGGCGGAGCGGCTGCGCCGCCACTCGAAAAGGCTTTCGGGCGGTGGCTGCTTCTGCTACTGCAATAAGGTTTACGTCGTCTTCCGCGCCACCGCCGCTTCGATTTTTAGGCGCGGTGTACACCTCTGAGTTGGTGATCAAAGACATTCATTATTGGGTTTATAAATGTAGGAAATGGTTTTGGTTTTTCATCATGATTCAACTTTTGGACACTCTTCGAATTCTCATTAAAGCTATGCGTAGATCTTGGCGAGACTAACAAAAATTTAAGTCGATTCACACCAATGGCCTACTATTAAAGAGTTAGCTGTTTTTAATGTAGTTTTTGCTGGGGATAAACTATTTTCGAGAAATCCAAAACGAAGAGTTTCGACCTGAAGTTATGTCTACAGGTACGTTTGATAGTCGTTAGATAGATCTGAAGATTTCAACAAAAATGAACATATCTTTCTCGAGATATTCGGCACCTTCCCCCCTCCAATATTTGAAAATTACTCATTGTTAGCCAGCAAAATCAATAACGTGTTTGAAATTCTCTGCTAGAAAATTCTGAAAAGATATTAAGACTTTTCGCTTCGCGAAAAAGTAACCACGTGAGTGTATTTGCCCTAAAAATATATGTGATATTTCCGCTTTTATGTCAAGTTTACTGCTGTCTTCCTTTTGAAGAGCTTGATTTTCGAGTAGACGTGGCTATCGTAGCCGCCTTCGGCGCTGAAATTGCTAAAAACTAATGTAACACTTTTTCTTTTCGAGCAACATACGGAAAAGAAGAGTTTTTCATGAGTTTGAAGAATGTTTCCGCTTCGCGAAAACTAAAAATTGTGTAACCGCGGTTATTTTAGAAAAACTTACTGCTTTAGTCAGTTTTCTTCAAAACAGCTTAATTTAAAACGATTTTCATAAGAGTGGCCGCCTTTTACAACAAAAGTATTTAAAAATTTTCTCAAATTGGATATGACAGCTCTTGAAAATTTGCCAGAGAAACTCGAATTTTTTTCAGAAGGTGGTAAAAACTTGTCGCTTCGCGAAAAATTGTTACATTTTGGTGGCAAGAGAAAGATTATCAGATTTGATGCAAAGAAATTTTGCGTCTCTGAATATTGGCTGCCTCGGAATCCACTTACACATATATTTCATACAGACATAAATGAGTACTCGGTTTCAGATTCCAACCGCTCAGTTTGATGATTAGAAAGCTTTAGGATTTTATATACGCTTGAGAGTTCCTTCTATAGTCTCAATTATTCGAAGTTAACGTCAAGTACATATTTTATTAATACGATGTTTCACTGTCTCCAGCACAGATTCGATTATACGCAATATCGAAAATGGGCTCTTGAATTTCTCCCGTCCGATGAAAATGTGTTCGTGTAGAAACATAAGGCACAAATTGTTCAAAAGCAGCACTGAGCCGTTTAGCTGTCTGAACTCTATTCATCCTTTCATCGTCTTCATTTTGTGTCTGTCTAGTAGCCCATTTCAATGTCATATTAATATAGTGTTGTGCAGCTTCCATGTGTTCAAATTTCACTTTCTCCATGCCTTCTTTATCTGTTCGAAAAATTTTCATTTGTGCTTTATCCTCTTCTGTTGGCGGATGAAATTCAAAATCCATTTGACTACCTCCCAGTCGTTTCGGAAGATCCATTGGATTGATATATTCAGTCAGCTCTTTTGAACTCCTAAGAAAATGAATCTTGCTTGCTACCACTGGATCTAGCCATGACTTGATTACACTCCAAACAGTATTGAATGTCCAGGGGGCATTGACCACCAAAGCGATACCTAAACACTCGGGATAATAATTTTGCACGATATTGATCATAAATTTAATGTATTGGTAGTCCAAATTCTGTAAGCCAACATTGAGCATGTCGATCACTATAGTTCCTTCTTCTACAGGAGGTTCAATCAAAAGTCTTGCAGTCTCAATGAAAAAAATGATCAATCGTTCCGTTGCTTGTAATGGATACTGTCCTTTAATATGTTCTTTAGCATGAACATAAGTAATAGGACGACCCGCTTTATCTTTTCCCATCGAGTACAATATTGAAATATAATTCATTTATTCAGTCGAATAGTTATATTGTCAAATAAAATGAATAAGATATTGCATGAAAAATATTCAAATATCAAGAAGAAGAAAAAAAAAAGAAGCAAATAAGATAGATTTTATTGTAATGAATGAGCCTTATTCCCATTTCGGTTTTTGGCCACGAACATGTATAAAAGTGACTACACAATAAATAACGTGTTATTGAGGACGGTCTCTTTTCTTTTATCTCTCTTTATGAATCGTCTTCGTTGTTTAAACGTTGTTTATATATGACAGTTTCTATTTATTTTCCTTTTGAATTATTTTTCTTTGATTGTTTCTTTTCATACTTTCCGCAAAAGAAATGTGTTTATCGAAAGACAAAAGAGTTACGTTAATACTTATCTTTCATCATCACATATAAGACAAAAATAAACTAATCAATATTATATTAATCATAAGTATGCTATCCTCATGATATTTTATATTTTTAGGTACATGAATTTAATATAATGAATAATTTAATCTATAAAAA